GGAGGAGGAGCAGTAGCAGTAGCAGTGGCAGTAGCACTAGCAAGAACAAGAGCAGTAGAGCAGTAGCAGTAGCAGCAGCAGCAGGAGCAGCAGCAGCAGTCGCAGCAGCGGGCAGCAGTGGCGGCAGCAGCAGCAGCAGCAGCAGCAGCAGCAGCAGCAGCAGCAGCAGCAGCAGCAGCAATTAGGGTCCCTATTTAAGTCCCCAGTATAGTACGGCGCCCCTATAAAAAAGACCCAAACAGGGACCCTACTTTAGGACCCATGTACACGTTCTCCATGCTATGGTCCTCTGCCAGACCCGTTCTCAGGGGGGTCTTCCCATGTCTTCCTTGATCTCAAGGCCAGACAGCCAGTTGTACACCAATGCCATTGCCGCTTGTGCAGATGCAGCCAGCCCGAAGCCCAAGTCGGTTGGCTTCGTCTAAAGAGCTTCAGGATCCGCCATGTTGCAAAGGTTGGCAGAGTGCCATGCACTTGCTACGGTACGCGACTGCCGTTGGCAACGCTCTCGGACTCGGAGCCTTCGGGGCCTTGCATTGCACCATGGCTTCTGACGCTTGGACAAGGTCCTTCGGAGCATCACTGGAGCGCAGCGATGACGGCATGCCAGATGCCTTGAATTGTTAAGTTATATGTGCATGTGTGGAGAGCAAGGGTTTTGGCTTCGCATCAGGTTCCGATGCGACCCAGTGGCAGTACGTTTGCACCTCAGCTTTGTTGTGTGTGTGGCATGGGCCATTGGCCTGTGAAGCAGTTGAGCTCGATTGCACTGTTAGCGAGGCCCTGTTGCTGGCCAGAGGAATGACAGACGACGCCCCGGCATATTGACTGCTATGAATTTCTGGTGTTGCTTCCTAATGCCTGCCAGATTCACTTGTCTCCTGGCGTCGTGAGCTACACTGCCATGATGAGTGCTTGCACCCATGGCGGGATGTGGCAGAGCACCCTTCGGACGCGCACTCAGGATCGTGTTGTTGCTGCTGTTTCGAATGTTGTTCCCACTCTCGTTCGCCTTATATGCTGCTTCCTTTTTCGTACTTGCAGCCCAACCTTCGTCTTCTGTTGTGCTCAGGCTGTTGGACATGTTGCAGGCTGCTGGCGAAGCGCCAGGGACCCTCGTGGCAAAGTTTCGTACATGCGTCGTGGATTGCTCTCCAGAGGCCCAACTATGTCACCATGACGGCAGTGTATCGGCCTGAGAGCTGTGCTCGCAGCCGGTGTGTTTGAAGTTCCGCGGAGTTTCAGGATCAAGGCTTGCATCCCAAACACCAACTGGGCTGCTAGCTTAGATCTTGAAGCCTCCCCTCGAGCTCTGTGCGTGGAACTCCCGTTTTCCCAGACTTTCGCGCTGCACTGGAAGAGCATTCTGGACAAACTCGGTGGCCCTGGCGTTGATTTTATGAGCCTAGGAAGAGCATTCAGACACTTGGAAGTCTTTCTGGTCGTGCTCGAGGCGTGAGTGGATACTTCACAAGCTACACGTACCTCATAGGGCTCTGTGCCGAGGTTGGCTCGTAAGTCTAACGTCCCTGGTCTGGTCTCAACACCAAGTGCAGGCGGAGCAATGGAATTGGGTGGAGTATCTGATGGCCGAGAGTACCACCAGGCGCAGCCATGGAACGGCAAGTCTCGCGAGGATGGAGCCTTGGTTCCTGCCAGGTTTCCGAGTGCGGAGAACTTCGATCAACGCCAGGTGAGAGGGTTTAGGACTTCCTCTATGAGCCTCTTTGTCATCATTGTCATGGTGAGCATTGCATGGCAAGTCTTGTGCCAGCTGTAACTCAAGGTGAGGATCTGAATCACGAGTCGACGACAGTCACCAAAAGCCATGACTTTGATGTTATCTAGTTTGACCGATGCAACAACAAGTGCCAGTATGTCAGCTGTCGACGCAAGCATGCCAAAGCAAGCATGTTCTCGCGATGATGTCACTTCGGCGAGGCTCCCTGACATGTAAGTATTCTCCACTGATTCTTGCGGTCAGATCAGTGTCACGATCGTAGATAGGCGGGCCAAGCGGCCGAGCTTCCGAATTTGAACGTCCCCGGCTTTCGGTTGCCCCTGGAGGCATCCGAAGATCCAAGTCTGATGATATCTGATGCGGCGGCATCGCAGTGCCTCGCCTGCCAGTGCTCCAGGCTCGTGGCATCTCTGAAATGAAGTCTTTCCGGTCTCTTTTCGTGAAAATGATCGTCGATCGTACGCGTGCCTTTGGATTGTCTGTCCGCTCTCGCTGTCTGTGTCTCTGTATATGAATATGTGTATCTGGATGAAACTTCGCCGGTGTGCAGGCGTGGTGACTACAGGAACCCGAGGAGAAGTATGGCGAGCCGTTGCCCTGCAGGTCTGCAGCTTCAGTTTTTGCAGAGAGTGTGGGGCAACGACGGTTCGACGAGCCAGGCACACCTGCTGGGCAAGGACCGTCCGCAAGCCCGCAGTGCCTCTGCGCGGCGACGCCAGGTGCAGAAGGGGGGTTGTTCGAGTCTGCGCACCGCCCGGTGTCGGCTCCGCCAGGAGACTCCACAGGAAGCAGCGCAAACTTCCAGGCCGCTGGCCCGATCCTTGTGACTTCGAAGGGGAGAAGCAGCCGTGACAGGAGTGCCCCCTGTTCGGGATCTCGCGAGGTCCTCGGTAACAGGTCACTGACGCCGAGGACTGGGCCGGAGTGTTGGAGCCAAAAGCTTCAAAGGACAAGCAGAGCTGGACTACGACGAGAAGCTGAAGCGACACGAGGTTTCGTGGAGAAAGACTGAGCGGGCCAAAGCCATGCCTCCCGCAGCTCTGTGGCGGCAGGCATCGTTGACCTTGGCACAACGTTTGGGCTTGGTGGCGAAGCCGGCGCAGCCCCTTACCCACGAGCAACCAGCTCAGATTCTCACAACACCAGGCATGCACAGTACTGCACGGTGTCAAAGTGAGCCGCCTTCGTCGCAGGCAGTGGGAGCAAGTGAAACATGCCTCTGACTCTCGCCAAGACAGTGAAGTCCCCTGCAGCATTTGCCGACCACTTAGGGGAGGGCTAGGCGGAGAAGCGACGAGCGCCCGAAGTCACAGCTAAGGCCTGGAGGACTTCCGGACGAGACCGCAGGTAATTCTAAGCCAGGTGCTCGGTTATCGCAGCATTAGAGTAGACCAGGCCATGCCACACGGTAATGCTTCGTGACTCTCTTCCAGACTCAGGTTGCAGCCACGTCTTCCATGGCGAGTCGGATGCTCACACTAGTCTCACACCTTGAAGCGGCCGGACGGCAAGTTCTGGAGGTGTTCAGATGGATCAAGGTGTTTGCGCAGCTTTGAGCGATTTTCTGGCAAGCGGTACTGCCCCCTGTGTTGGGAACCTAGCTTTGTGTGACTCTTTCGTTGTGTTGTGCTTGGCAGTTTGTGCTCGCCTGCACCAGATCGTGTTGCAAGGTCGCTGTCCATATTTCGACGCGACGATCCACTACTCGGGGCTCATGGCAGCTGTCTCGGCAGTCGTGTGATGCCGTGGACAGCTGTCCAAGAAAGCTCAGGTGTGGCGAAAGAAGTCTGCAAGCAGAATTCAGCGGGCATGGCGTGGCTACCGCAGCCGTGGGGAGCCGGAGCCTTTGGAGTCTCACGCCAGCGCCTTGGGCGCCGGCAGCCTCTGGCGCCAAGGATCTTCTTGCAGCTCCGGCAACCGCAGCTGCGTGCGGAAGCCCCGACCTTGTCCTGGCCTTGGGAAAGAAAGGGAGCGGCAGAGTAGCGAAGCTGTGCGCAGTGCTGTGACGACTATCGACATACTGTGCGCCCTTTCTATCCCTTTCTCGAGAGACCTCGGAGCCGTGCGTCTTCGTCGTAGTTTAACCAGCATGGTAACAACCCGGCTGGTTCGTTGGCTCGTGCTGTGCCAGTTGGCGGTCAGCAAAGAGCTGATTCCCGATCCATGCGGCGAGAGCTGCAACGTCAGTCGCCCAGATGCAGGTGACACTGCCTTGTTGCAGACGGCGAAAGCCTCTGGCGAGCCCATCTCTTCGAAAGAGTTTGCGGAGAAGATGCAGTGCGATGCACAGGAGAATTCCTTCTCTATCAACGGAGGTGACTGGATTTTCGTCTTGGGCGGTTTCGCAAGCCCTGGTATCCTTTGGGAGGACCTTCTGGTGAGTTGGGAGAAGGGAGGTCCTCACAAGGAGTACTTTGGCATTGATTACACTTTCATGTCGCAGAGTTATCAATTCACGGACTACCTGACTATCTCCTCTTATCTGGGCGTGACGCTTTTTCCCATGACGCTCTGGGCCTCGCAAGTCATCAAATTAATTCTGCCGTTGCCCGTTCCCACTGGTTGCAACGATTTCTGGAATGAGCAAGGCTTCAGCGGCCTCTACATCATGCCGCCATGGTCGCTGGGGTCATTGAGCAGCCCGGGCTTCGACGACGCAGGCTGGCCGCGATCCATGGACCCCAAGGATCTCATTGTTGACAGCTTGGCCTTCCGCATCCGTGTCCAGCCAAGGCTGAAGGTTCTCCCAGGCGAGCTGCGGGTTTGAACAAATAATTATGGGGATGCCACGACATAGAAAACGAATGAAAAGGAGGACAGATGCCTTTTTTTGTTGCACGAACGACTCTACCTGAAGTACCGGTTTAGACGATAACGCGAAATTTGCGCAGGTGAAAGCCCGGATGCCCCGCCGACCATGGAGGTGCGCTTGCAATTCTTTTTGGAGCTCCGCCCCGTCTTCCGTATCCCTGGGCCGAAGCCAACCACGACAACCACCACCATGAGGCCATATGACCGCCGACGCCGTGGTCAAAAGCCTATCCCGCCGCGTGACGTCTTGAGGTGGTGCGAAAGATATCTTCCCCGAGCTTGCTGTATCGTGCGCAGGGTCCTCGTCAATCCATTGTGGACCTGTTTTCGCTGCTGTCCACGAGTGCCTTTGTGCAAAGACTGCCTTTGCCAGTGTCCTCCTGGCTCCCACCTCCTATCCAACAGCTCCGACTCCGAGGGATCTCCGAGCATCAGCTACCAGGCTAGTGGTCTGCCAGGGGTTGATTTGGCTGCTCCAGGCGAGCTCAGCGAGCTGGAGTGGTTTGCAGAGTCACCAAAGTGGCCCGAGAACTTGACCATTCCTGCCGGATTTCTTTTCGACACCCCCGACTTGCGCAAATTGCTCTCCACAGCCGAGAGGCAGCGAGTGCAGGACTTCAAGGAGACCGTGAATGAGGAGACTGTGCCCCCAGAAAACGTGTCGGTCATCGACGGCGACTGCCCCGTGCCTTTCGCGATCGGCGGCGGTTGCAAATGCAAGGAAGGCTGCTCTCCGCTGCCCTACTTGAACTCAGCAATCACATCGGACACGAGCCTTTCCTGCGAGGGGCCATGGCCTCCACCCAGCGACTTGGTGGCCCTTCACAAGACGATATGTGGGCCCGGGAGGGTTCAAGAGGCTTTCGCGCTGGGCAAGACAACGCAGCGCGGCGGAATCTTCGTGAGGTGCAAGGTGGGGACGTTGATAGGTGGTGCTTGCAGCAAGTTCTTGCCATACGATGACGCCGAGATCCTAGCTGCGTTTCCTGAAGATCTGAACATGTTCCGATGCCTCGGAACCGGCGAGATGAGTGAGAAGCCGGTCCACGAGACAGTGGCCCGTGGATGGTGTCTGAAGCTCGAGGGGAATGAGAAGGTCATCATGGTCAGGAGGGAAGGTCGTGACAATGCTTCTGTCAAATGTCCTGATGGTTATCAGGTTGTGGGAGGCGGGTGCACCTTTATCGAGGGCGCGGAGTTCACGCTTCGCGAGTCCTACCCAACATCCCAGAACACATGGGAGTGCGTCTTTGACTCGACGCGGTCCTGTGGCGAAGGCAGTCCGGTGTGTCTGCGCAGTGAGGCCCGCGCTCTGTGCATGGGAGTTGCAAGCGCACTTTAATTGGCTCCCCATTTTTGACGACATGCCTGACAGTAAGATTCTGTAGCATTTTACTGGCCTACACTGAGTCTTCTCCTGTCGGAGTACCTTGAAGGTGCGGCAGAAAAGTACGGAGAGGCATGTTCCAAAGATGACGACAGCCCATCTTGCCTCATTCCGCGAATTGAGAAACGGCTGCATTGATTAACGCATGGAGTACTGGCCAGAAATCTCGCCCTAGTGATGAGAATGAGACCCCTCTGCAGCGGCAGAGGCACCGGCGCTTCTGCGGAAAGGCTCTGCAGGTCGGCGTCCTAGGGAAAGCCCAAGAAGTGGAGGGAGCTTCCGAGGGTGTTCTCAGCGCTCTGCGGGCTCAGGGCTTTCGAACATTTTCGGACTTTCGGGTTTCCATTGCAACACAGGGGGGCCTTCTCGCTCTCCTGTGTGCTCAGGCGTTGGGAGGCAAGCTGGAGAAGGTTTGCGAGGACCTCCTGGCAGACCGGAGGCTCAGCACGATATGACGTGTCCATGTCAGGCGCATGAGGATGCCCTCGATCGATTTCTTCAGGCCAGGGTGCAGCATGTAAGCTCGCAAGCCATGTGAAGCCTGGTGATCTACTGAGAGCAGATACACCAGCAGTGTCTACTGCCTTCGTTTGGCGTGTGCCTGTGCAGCACAGAAATATGGTGCCCTGTTACAGAACGGGACTTTATTTAGACGCCAAGCTGCTGGGCCTTCCGGCCTGCCAGCTTCGGATCCGCAAGGAGCTGGATGGCAGCGTGGCAAGCTCTTCAGCACAGATTCGCTGCAAGCTTAGCAGGGCCCTTGGGTCAGATCCTTGCGCTGGCAGTTCTGAGATGAGGTGACGGATTGCGTGACTTTGAGCAGCTCCATTTCGGGCCTGGAAGCTCCGTGGCAGGCGCCGGGCCAAGCGGAAGCCAGGCTAAGCGGGGTGGGCCCTCGTTTGGGAGGTCCCCTGGCTGAGAGCGCCGTGACCGAGGTGGCCCAGGAGGTTCCCAGATCTGTCCCTACACCAGAGCTGCAAAGACAACACGGTGCAGGATGTGCCTTCCTGCTCCGACGGCCAAGCGGAAGGCTCCGGCATGCTCCGGTTGAGCTGCAGTTCGGAGAGGACCAACTAAGTTTCCATCTTGGCCAGGTAGACAGCGCTGGGCGGTTGCCCGACAGAAAGCACTGAGCCTGCTGCCTACTTGGTTCCACACGGGTGGTTAGAGGAAGTGGAGTTGCTCTGACCGAAGCATTCGCCCTTTGCACACTGCGGACCCCGAAAGCTTCCGGAGCGTCGTCGTCACTCAGGTCGCGGAGAAGAGGTGCGGGTCCTGATTTCGCAAAGGTGCAGAGCCCTTGTGGCCCTTGTGCTTGGGAAGCTCGATCTCGCAGAGGTCGACTGTCCCATCTGCTTCCAAGCCTGCGACTTGCTCGGCCGTGGAAGCAAGGCGCCTAAAGACCGCAAGGCTTCTACAGGTAGCTGGATGTTATCGCAGGGCCGAAGAACCGAGGCGATCGGGTGGAACTTCTTTCCTGTTCTCATGAGGGCGTCTCAGCTTCTGCTCCTTCTTTTGGCAATTGGCGGCACTTGTCCAAAGCTTCAGGTGTTTCACCGCTGCTGTTTGATGTCCTTCGAGTCCTTCCATGTCTTCGAGGCCAACTTCATTGGCTCTCTCCGAAACGCGGGAATCATTCGGATGTTACCCTAAACCCTAAACCCTAAACCCTAAACCCTAAACCCTAAACCCTAAACCCTAAACCCTAAACCGCTCAGGTTC